AGAAGAAGAAGAAGAAGAAGAAAAAGAAGAAATAGGAGGAGGAGGAGGAGGATGAGGAGAGGAGGAGGAGGAGGAGGAGGAGAAGAAGAAGAAGACAAATAAAAGAAAAGAGAACCTAAGAAAAAGTAAGCACCATGGCTGTCACCCACTGCTGCAATGCATATTAATTTCCCTCCGTTTCACCTACGGAAATCCTAAGAGAGTAAAAGTAAAAGTGTCGAATCTCACTCGTCTTGAATGATTCGCTCGGTATCATGCGCCTATCTTCATCTCGACAGGTAACGACCAAAATAGAAAAAAAGGAGAAAAAGACGCTAAGCACGTTTACGGCGATTGTCTCCCCTTGTAGCATATTATTTATTCATCAACGCACCACACGCAAACACACACACGCACACACACACACACACACACACACACACACACACACGCGCGCGCGCGCGCGCGCGCACCACAACAATCTTGAAGTAACTATATATTTTACTCCAAGACAACAACAAAAATTCAGGTCTCATGGTAACTGGAGAACATGTAACCAGCATCTGTGAACACCAGTCACGACGACCTAGCCTTCTTCCCTCTTCTCATCCCACCCTATTCGTCATCGGGCTCGCCCCACCCGAAAATCCCACCCCTCCCCCGTGACGTATGCGGCATTAAAAATACAGTCGAACCTGCTTTAGCTTTAAAAGCCACCTCTATTAATTAAATTAGACAATCACTGGTATTATTTTACCCATGGACTCATCGATCTCATGCTCAAGATATTCCAAAAATTTACCCAGTCACGTGTACAAACGGCAACTTCCCCCCCCTCTTACGTTAAAATATAACAGACGTAGATCTATGTCTACTTTTCTCCTCGACAACGGGTGGCCGTCTTCAATAACTTCGACTTGAAAAGTACCATGGGTGTACCTGAGGGACAGCTTCCTCAGTGAGCGGACTGAGCACTGATGACATCACAAGGGTCATTGACCGCTGTCCGCATGGATCACGAATCACTCACAATAATACACGTGCGTGTAGTATGTAACACACTGTGTTGGCACCACAGCAACACGGATACCAGTGTCTAGCTAGCAGGTAGACATTCCACACACTGGCACCAAGTAAACGAACTATCATGTGAGACGTGTGGGTTTGAACACACACACAGCGACAGACTTATTAACCCAGAACTACACAAACAGGTAGTGTAACCCACTTGGCAACAGTAAATTATCAAAGATATCTTTGGTATTATTATGTCCCACAGGCTCAAGAGAAACGACACACATGTGTATAGCAGTGTGCAGTTTGCAGTCAAATACAAGGCGAAAGAGCACAACGAAGTACACACTGTTAGAGACTCCAGCACAGCGAAATACGAAATAACACACTCCACATTATTCTAAATGTTAGAAGGCTTAGCGAAACCCCTCCGGCATTTAACCCGCTTCAAACAAGACTCTATGCACTGTGCGTAATGATCAACGTTTCCCGCGGTGACTGTACTGTGCTTGGCTTGTAACTTTCTGTGCTTGCTCTGACGGTGCCAAGCGAAACGGAGAGTCACGTGACACGGCTCTGGCAAGTGGTCAAACGTGGGAGGGTCTTGAGTTTGAGTGAGGGTCGGAGAGAGCTGAGAAGTGTGAATGTGTAATTGTGAATTGTATAGTGTTGTGTGTGTATATTATATTATACTATAAGTGATAA